TTTAAACTATTAAGTAAATAATATAAATTTAAATGTTTCAGATAATAAAAATATTAATTCATACAAATGAAAGGCACAGAAAATATGACTGTGAAAGGAAGCCACACTATCCTAGGTTGATCAGCACATTTAACTTTTGTACACAAGAAAAAGTTAATTGAAAGACATTATTACTGAGGAAAAAAATTTCAGGATTAGGAAGTTCATTTAACCATCTCTTCCTTCCTTAAAAATGACCATTAAAAATCCACTGAAGGAAATAGGAGAGTAAATACCAAATGATAATATTACTAATTAATTTAAGTACTGAAGAAAACCACTCAGTAAAGACCTACCTGCTCTCACCAGGCACATCAAACTCATGAGTATGTACACCTTCAGCATGTGGAAGCTGGCGGGGGCACACGTGTCACCGTCCCAGGTCGGATGATTTCCTTCACGGAGTCCTTAGAGAGCGTCTCCAGGGCAGGTTGTGTTCAGCTGAGCTCCGATAACTAACCCAGAGGCGTGGTGGCAGCAGGAAGTGCTCGAGCGCAGGCTGCAGTCCCAGCCCCGTCAGGATCTCGACTCCTCCTCTTTTCCAGCAAAGGTCAGTACTTTCTACTTTACACGGTTTTATGCATCTCGTAATATTATCATTTGCATTTGCAGAATGACGAGTTCAAAACAGTTTCATCCTTTGTGGGCGGTTTACTAGCTGTTTGGCTTGGTGTGTTGAAATCAAATGTGATCTGAGATTTCCCCGCCTTCTTCGTATGAATGAAATGACAAATGCAGTTAGTATTCTTTAGCCTGTGTATACAAAGCCACTTTTTTTTAATGTTGATTCATGCACTCAATCCCCATAAGGCAGTCTTTCCATTTTTATTAAGACCATTTCGGGGCTGGGGATTTAGCTCAGTGGCAAAGTATCTGCCTGGCAAGCGCAAAGTTGTGAGTTTGGTTCCCGGTACCGGAGAAAAACTAAAAACTAAAAAAAAAAAGACTATTTCATTAGGTCGGATTGCATATCTACTTTGTAAACTATGTCTGTGCTTCAGAAGCAAGGAAATTTTTTTCTTCTGTGTTATAATCTTTATTTTTTATTTCTCTCTAGCCACAGGCTCTATCTGCCTAACAGTTCTTTTTATTTTTAAAGGAGATGTAAATGGATAAGCTTAAATACTGAACTATGCCAGAATCTACCCACCCAATATTAGATGGAACTAAACTTACGCTTCGTAGCAAAACGCAGGTGGTGGTTAGGGTTATGGATCAGTGGTAGATCACTCACCCAGCATGCTGAAGGCTCAGGGTTTGATCCCCAGTACTGTAAAAAAGGAAGCAGAGGGGGCGGGGATTTAGCTCAGCGGCAAAAGCGCCTGCCTGGCAAGCGCAAGGTCGTGAGTTCGGTTCCCGGTACCGGAGAAAAACCAAAAAAAAAAAAAAAAAAGGAAGCAGAAGAAAAGAAGACATAACTGTACAGTAACTTAATTCCCTTTCTGGTGAAAGTGCTTGCAACACTTAGGCTTCTGGCTGCTTTAGGAGCTTAAATGATAAAGACAATTTAGGAATACGTTCTTATCCAAAGAATCAGGCAAGAGCCATTAGTCAATCAGCGCTGCCTCTCAGAAGTACACATTTGTGAAAGGGTAGACAGCACTTTTTATAGAAGTATGTTAGTTTTTTCCATCTGCGCCCCCTTTAAATAGCTGGAGAGTCCTTCATAGAGAATACAGTACCATGGCATTGCCCTTGGCCCAGGCTGCACCCAGCCTGAAATAAAGATATCGCTATTCGCTTCAATCCTGCCTGTCCAAAGAGCAATGCTACCCAAAGAACCAGTTATCACAATCACCTGAGGCCTAGGGCCTGGGGGTTGGGCTCAGGGGAGATGTGGGAAGAGGGAGTCTATCTTTTTGTTTATCCTTTTTTCGTTTCTTATTTTGAGACAAAGTTAAATCACTAAATTGCCCAGGCTAAGCTCAAACTGGCATCCTCCTGCCTCAAACTCCCAGACCTGAGTGGCTTCTAAAAGTTCTGAATATAAACTGGGCCTGTAATCCCAGCACTCGGGAGACCGAGGCAGGAGGATCACTGAGTTCAAGGCCAGCCTGGGCTACATAGTGAGTTCAAGGCCAACCTGAACTACATAGTGAGATCCTGTCTCAAAAAAAAGTTCTGTGTATAGATTTCTATGTCATACCTCAGACCTAATGAATGTGGAGACTGAGTTGGAGTCCTATACCTTCCACTTACTAGTTGTGTGACCTTACGCAAAATACTTAAGTTCTTGATATCTTAGCGTCCTCAGCTGTAGAATGAAGATAATACCTTCACATATCCACAGGGCTGTCAAATGGGACAGCTAAGGTCATCGGCATGGTGCCTACCACCAAGGGAAGCCCTGTGCCCCCAGGTATCTACTGTGAGTACTACCTAGTCACAAACCTGCTCTGTCCCTCCCCTCAGAGTGATGAGAGCTCTGGGGAAGGTTTCAGCAATGGGGATCTCTGGATGTTAGGGTCTCAGTGTTCTGGGTGAAGACTTTCATGGGTTGTTAGTCTACTTTATTTTTTTGTCTCTTGCATGGATAAATTAGAGAACTATAAATAGGAAAATCAAATAGGTGACCTGCTTTTTCCACTTGCTGATTCACAAATGCCCGCCCTTTGGAACAAATGGCAAATTGTTTCCCCGCTTCTCTTAGGAGCCTGCGATGGAATGTGCTACTCTCTGATGGATCAGTGTACTTGCCTGACAAATATTTGTTGAGTTCCTATGCCCAGCGCTTATCAGACAGAGTCAATATGCATTTTGTTGGAAACCCGCCAGCTAGAGGACTGACAATCCTTTCTATTGGCCGGTCCCCCGTCACTATTATCCTTAGGGTGCAGACCTTGCCCTACCTGCCTACTGTGTGCTTCTTCCTGTCAAGCTAGACCTGGAGGAGAGACCGACACCACCAGCACAGGCAGGATTGAAGCAAACGGCGATATCTTTATTTCAGGCTGGGTGCAGCCTGGGCCAAGGGCGAGAAAGCCGTTGGCCGTGAACAAAGGAAGGGGGTCTACTTTATAGACTATTTTAGGTATGGGAGGAGGAAATTCCCCTGAGGAAGGTGGAAAATTTAAGTTTCTCAGGGGTGATTGGTAGGTCTGGAGGAGGGAAGTGCAGGAGGACATCGGCATGTTGCTGATTTACGGCGTGGCACTCTGTAGACTTACAAAGTTTCCTGTAAGCCCGAGAACTAGGCCTGGGACCCATCCTGATAAACAGATTCACTTTAGTCTCTCAAGCTGAGTGAGGGGCTTTCTGTTTGAACAGACTGGTTGTCTGTCGCAGTTTTTTCTCTTCAAGTTAGGGACAGTGTAAGGAACCGAACGCTTCCAGCATTCCAGCAGCACGAGAATCAGCAGGAGAAACCTCCCTTTCTTTTTTAACACGTGTACACATTTTTTTCCTTTTTCTTTTTTTTTGGAACAGGGAATCAAACTCAGGACCGCATCACACTTGTCAGGCAGGCACCCTGCCTCTGAGTTTACCGCTGGCCCCTCTTTTTTTAAATTAGTGGTAAATATAAACTGTAAGAAAACAGGCCAAGCTCTGTGGCACACATCTAGAATCCCAACACTTGGAAGGCTGAGGTAGGAGGATTCTGGGTTTGAGGGAAGCCTGGCTACATACTGAGTTCAAAGCGAATCTGGACTCCATAGAAAGACCCTGTCTCAAAACACATTCCCAAAGGTGGAGGGAGAAGAGAAGAGAATGAGTTTGACTGCAAAGGGATAGCATTAGAATATTTTCAGGGTTTTTTGTTTTTGTTTTGTTTTTTTTTTTTGTCTTTTTGAGACGGGGTCTCACTATGCAGTTCAGGCTGAACTTGAGCTCACTTTGTAGCCCAGGCAGGTCTCGAACTTGCAATGATCCTCCTGCCTCAGCCTCCTGAGTGAGGGGATTACAGGCGTGCGCCACCACGCCTGTTTTTTTTGTTTGTTTGTTTGTTTGTTTGTTTTTGCTTTTGTAATGCTGGAGGTGAAACCCAGAGCTTCTTGCCATGGGGCAAGTGCTCTTCCACCAAGCTATGCGGGTACAGAGAGCTTTCCATGCAGGCAGAGTTCTGCAGCTTCATTGCGGTGGCTGCTGTAGGCTCCGACACATGTGATTCAGTCGCATGGAACTCCACTTCGCGCTGACAGAGTCTAAGCAGGTCTGTGAATTGAACCCCGGCGGTCTTCCAGTTTGTACCCCACAGTACTGGCTATGTAAGATGCTCCGTTCAGGGAAACTAGGTGAAGGTACACAAGACCTCTTCGTAGCATTTTCGCAACTTCTCATGAGCCAATTATTATCCCCAAATCAGAGATGTTTGTTTGTTTCTGAGACAGAGTTTTGCTATGCAGCCCAGGCTGGACTTGAACTCTCGATCCCTCTGCCTCAGCCTCTGGAGTGCTGGAACTGCAGGCATGCATCACCCTAGCCAGCTTTCAAAGGTGTTTTAAAAATCCTCCAAAATGGGTCAACTCTTCTCATCACTGTGAAGAACATTCATTTAAAGGTATTTTGAGGAAAACCATTTCTTTCCCTCTCATCAGCTTGTCAGGACTTTCTCAGTCCTGTGACTGATACATGATCCCAACTCACTAATGTCACGATTGTCCTCATCCCCAGTGCAGTATTGTGCAGTGCTGGGTACTGTCTTCTTTCTCTGTAACCTAGAAATCACTTGCCCAAGAGCAGGGTGGCAAACTTCCAAATGACTGGACAGGAAAAACAGGTACGAAGTGGAGCTCACTGCTGCAGACAGCCCGGGAAGGCGGCTCTGTCCCCACCCACGCCAGCAAGGGCTGCGCACTGTAACCCTTTGCCTCCCATCTACGGGCGTGACCCTGCCAGCCATCCCCTGTCGTTCATGTTTGAAAAGTCTGTTTCTTCCATTCACATCTTACAAGGAAATCGGGGTGATTCCCTCCAACCATACGGTTGTGTCACTTCCTCATTCTTTCATCCATCAAACACTTCTTGAGCTCCCATTAAAAGAAATAAGAACCAGGAATGGTTTTACCTACCTGTAATCGGAGCTACTCAGAAGGCTGAGGCGAGAGGATCATAAGTTCAAGCCCAGCCTGGGCAACTTAGCACCTCAGCCGGACTCCATTTCAAAATAAAAATTAACAAAGGGACTGAGGATATCGTTCAGTGTGAAGGCCCTAGCTTCAATCCCTAGTACCAGAAAAATAAAAATAAAAAGGACTGGGGTTGTAGCTCAGTAGTAAAATGCTTCCCTAACATGTATGAATTCAATCCCAGTATCACAGAAAGAAAGAAAGAAAGAGAAAGAAAGAAAGAAAGAAAGAAAGAAAGAAAGAAAGAAAGAAAAAGAGAAAGAGGGATGTTTCCTTCTCTCAAGAGACAGTCATTATTATCAGCCAATGGTGATAATAATGCTATCATGAGACATGGACATAAATTCTCTAGGAGAACAGAATAGAGAGCAGTAAGACGGAGGTCCCAGCAGGAGGCATTGGAAAAATTTCATAGAAAGGCCCTTTAAACTGGGCTCAAAGGTCACATAGAGTTTGTGAGGAGAAGGAGG